AACTTCAGGCTGGGAGTGTATGTTAATAAAAGGAATAATGGAAGAAAGGATATTGGAGAACAATTAAGGTCTATTGCTTACAGTTTCAGTCCATACTGATGGACATGTTCTAGAAGTACCTGCTATGTTCTCTGGTACATTCAGAAGTGGTAAAGAGGGCTGACATATAGGAATTTTAAATCTTGGTGAGGAAAGAGGAGAAAAGAGCAAAAAGAGGGCGAGCATCGTGAGAGAGCCAGGCAGAGAGAATCAGTGGCATTCAGGAGGGAGCACTCAGCAGCTGAGGTAGCTGATCAGATAAGGTAGCACAATGCAGGTGCTAGTGTCTAATCCTGTGTTTTGGACAAGAGGCAGTATGATTAGTAAAAGGACTCTGACCTAAGTGGATACAGGAGGATTTGAGCTTCAGGTGTGCCACATAGAAACTGTGACTGAGCAAATCCCCATACCTTTCTGAGTCTGTTTCCTTATCCATAAAGTGAGAGGGATTACAAACTGTGGCCTCATAGCTCTAGTGGTTCTCCAAGGATTGGAGTGGTTCATTCAAGAGCCATCTTAGGAGGGAAGAATTAGCTAGGCTGTGGAAAGTTGAGGGGACACAGGCAGACCCTCCCCACTGTAAACAGGCAGTGCTGCTCCTTTAGTCAACTGGTGTCCTTATACCCTGGTGCAGGCGATGTCTGTGCTCCCTGTTGACTTTAGAGCTCTGGAACAGAACAGCCGCGATGGAGGAAGAGACCACAGCTTCAAAATTCAACAATTCATAATGACTTTTTTTCTTAGAAAAAGAAATTTCTAGATTCAGAGAAAACTATTATTTTTGAAATTTTTTTCTTCTTGGGGAGCTATAAAATGATGACACCAAATTTCAAATACGAAGTAGGGGAGTTTTTAGAGGAATCACAAGATGCTTTTGTCAACAGAAAAGAGACTTCTGTGTGTTTTTGGACACTCTGCTGGTGGCTATCGGAACACCAGTGGGAGGGCTACTGGGTTCTTGGGGGCTTCAGTTTGGTGAAGGAAAGTCCTTTTAACATATTCCTGTTAACGGAGGAACTGGAGCTCTGTGGCACACACTGGTCTCCCTGGATCTAATTCCAACTCCTCTATTTACATATGAGGAAGCTTAGGGCCAAAGCAATGAAGTTATTATTATTATTATTATTTTTTGTGACCACAGAAATCACGGGTGATAAAACTGAGAATAAAGCTCATGACTTTAGTTCAGAGTTCTTTCTTCTTTCTCTTATTTTTGGCCTCATCTAAAGGACTTCTCTTCCCTTAAATATCAGGTAGCTTCACTAACACTACCATTGCTAAAAGAAGGAAAATCATTCTTTGCCCAGTGGAAAGAATTCTTTTACCTCTAACCAATTTATCACAAAAGATAAATGGGGAGAACAAAGAGAAAGCAGGTCACTTAACAGATGTTTGCCCCTAAATAATCAGCGTTTTAAGACCAGCTGGGATATTTTTAGACCCTTCATTTTTCTGTTTACCAAACTGCATATCATCAGGGGATGACTCCAGATATTTCTGATATTGAAGTCAAATGACTTCAAACAATAAATCTTTATTATAGCTCACACAGCTTCTGTAGACACCTGTGTGTGTGTGTGAGTGTGTGTGGTGGGTTATGTCTGTGATTCTGGTGCGGTGTCTTTTGATGCTGCCAACTCAGGAGAGTAGCAGCCTGGGATGCAGTTATCTGAAGACTAGAGCTGGACTATCTCTTTTCGAGGTGGCTCACTCGTAAGCCTGGAAAGGTCATCCTGGCTGTTGGCAGGAGACTTCGATTTCTGGTCATATACAGTTCTTCTGAAGGCTGCTTGCTCTGCCTCACCACAGACATGGTGACTGACTTTCACCAGAGTGACTAATCCAAGAGAGAGGCAAGATGGAAGCCATAGCACATTTTATGGGCCAGTATCTGAAGTCACACACATCACTTTTGCCCTTTTCTGTCTTTATTAGAGGGGAGGTACTATGTCTGGCTCATACTCAAGAAAAATATCAAAACATTTGGGACATTTTTTAAAATTACCACACCAAAAAAGTTTTGTATGACAGAAGGACACCATTTCAATGACCAAAAAAAACCAAAAAACATGTTTTTGGGGTAAAAAATCCAGTTAGGATAAGAATAAGTGCTACCTGGAAAGTGAAAGAAACTGAGAATTTAAGTTTATGTGGGACCTGAAGTCTTAACCTGAATCATTGCATTTCTCACAACAAAAATATCTGAATAAAAGAATTTTTGAAAGGAAACTTCCATTGCTGTTTTTGTGACTAGAACAGGTGACAATACAAACTAATGACGAGAAATTCAGGAAGCAGGTCCAATGTTTTGATGTGAGTTCTTTCAAGCTAACTTTTTCTTAGGTTTTGCATTTTCTAAATGTTGCAACATCCTACAAGAGTGTCAGCTTTGCCTCGATCAATACCATCTTGACCACCACTCCACTTTACTCTTCCAGTTTCCTCTCCCATTACATTCAGGCCCACCCTTTTCTTATCCATTTGATGGCTCATTCGTTCTTCCTTCACTTATCTCTGTCTTTGCCCAGTAGTCCTCAAATACTTAGGACTGCTTTAGGTTCCAGGAGAAGCCTCACAGTGGGGGCAGGGGGCATTTTCCTTAACAAATCTACTTCATCTTATCTAACTACCTGGATATAGCTTAGCTCTAGCTTTCTTTCACTTCTTTTTTTTTTTTCTTCTGAAGGCTTACATTCATTTCTCAATGCTTTTTAAAAGCAAGAGATCATGATCTAATTGCTTAAGAATTTATTTCCAAATAGATGTCGACAGAGTCTGAAAGTCTCAGAAAGATCAGATGGATCATATTCCCTCCTTTACTCAAGATTTTTAAAATTGAAAACAAAGCAAAATAAAACCAAGCCCATTGTGATCCCCAAAAGAACTTTCCTTTGTGGCACCTGTAGTATTCAGTCAATCAACAAGCATTTCTTAGACATACTATAAAGAGATTCTCAGGGCTCATTATATATTTGGGAATTCAACAGAAAATATTCTGATAAACACAATAAATCACAAAAGTGGGACTGACAGAGAGGACTGAGTCTACATCCTGGTAGAGTAGATGCAGTAGATTTATTAAAGAAAATGTTCCCCCCTCCCACCATGAGGCTTCTCCTGGTATCTAAAGCTGTCCTAAGTATTTGAGGACTACTGGGCAAAGACAGAGATAAGTGAAGGAAGAACGAATGAGCCATCAAAAGGATAAGAAAAACGTGGGCCTGAATGTAATGGGAGAGGAAACTGGAAGGGTAGGGTGGGGTGGTGGTCAAGATGGGCTTAAACAAACTGAGGGGCAAAGAGTTTGGTGTGGTTGGAGCAAATTCATTACAAGAACTGAACATTTTTTTCAGAATACAGCGTATGAAAGCAAAACAAAACGTTCCTATTAGTAGAAACTCTTTGAAAGCAAGACCTGTCCAATGGTCCCCTATAGGGAGATGAGGGTTGGAGATTCTGCCTGTCCCCTCTGGCACCATCTAAATGCCAGCAAGACTGAAGGCCTGTCAACTATGGGAGGGAAGGCTAGAAACAGTCAGTGAAGGATTGACTGCTCGTTGGAGCCAACCAACTTACTGTTGTGAGAGGCAAGTGAGATTCAAAAAAATTATCCACAGGATTAGGGCAAGATGGCAGGCAAGTCTATTCAGCATGAGTTTCATTTCCCTTTCTTCTTTTGTGTGGAAGTTGAAAGATTTTTTGGTAAACAGTAACAGTATCGTAATCCTGCCTCGCACATGTCAGGTATGCATGAGGAGCTGGAGATACAGAAATGATGGAAACATCATCTCAATAACTTGGCAGCTAACTTGAAACCTCAGTATTTCCTTTCCTGCTTCTGACTTTTGCATTGGCAAAAGGGGAGCTCTTTCTCCTGGAACAAAGTGTGCAGATGTGGAGCAGGTGAGCAGAATCATATTTGCTTTCCAGCTTGGAAACAGCTGTGTCACACAGACAGTGGCCTCTATCCTACTTCTGACAGTGCAGAATCACTTCAGAATGAAGTTATTCTTGTACTCATATGGCATAACCCAAGTGGTGATGGAAGTCCCTTAATGTTGAATAAGGAACTGAATATGTGCCTTGTACTTCCTTGCAACTTATATGTAGGTGCTGTTTCGACAGCATCAGACATCAGGTGTAAAATGCAACAGTTAGGGGACTTCCCAGTTCCTGGCAGTGGAGAACCCCATCCTTTGATTCAGATGGGGTGAGGAACCTTGGGTACAGGAAGGATGCGAGGGTCTGACCCTAAGTCATCTGACATCACAGAGGACAAGCCATGCTATTCAGATATCCTGGCTCTGAACCCAGGCCAACTGTGACAGAATGCACCAGAATGCAGATTTTAATCTCCTTTAGCCCAAGCTCTGCAGCCTGTACCGCTCACACATACACATCAAGATGGTTCCTGGGTGGTTGACACTCATCACCCTCTGACTTCATTTCTTTTTCCTTTGCAAAATGGTTATTGCTCAGAGCCAGCATCTCTTTTCCAAAAAGTTAACATGCCAGAAGGCTTTTTGGAAGGCGCCTTGGTATCTGTCAGGAGCCAGATGATTCACAGCAATGAACCAATGCACATAAGAAGGATACCTGATTGGATTACCAATTAGCCACCACCACCTCTGGAGGGTGGTTGGAAAGAAGAGAAAGGGCGGTTGTTTAGTTTGGGCAAATACCAAGAGAGCTTTATCATCCTCATCAAGGCCTTAGCACAGCGCATTAGACCTCCTCCAAGCCATTCCACGGGAACTTCTCTCCTCAGAGGCTCAGCAAGAGTCAACTTGTTATGCAAACATTGGGTTATTGTGTCTGTGTTACAGAAGCTCCTCTGTGTCAGGGAGAGGATGAAACTGGCCGACTTACCTGCTTTTAATGATGCCTCTGCTGCTGGGAAGTTTTAGAAGCTGCAGGTAAACTCTTCCCCTATGAAAACGAGGCTGACCTGGCTACCTTACCTTCATCTGATGGAAGCGCCTCGGTTTGGGTAGGTCCTGGCAAGGAGAGGCAGATGTTTTCCCTTTCTGGACCCAGCAAGAAGTGTCCCAGGGTAGGGTCTCTGGATTCCTCTTGAAAAAGCACACATGGAAGGGCAGTGTTAGTACTAGGGCAAGTGGGGGAGAAGGAATCTAGACTGTGCTCTCCGAGCAGGGGGAGGGGCTGTATCTACAAGTGCTCTGTAGAGTAGGTCAGTCCTGTCCTGGGATTCACCAGAGCTGGGCCATTGTTTAGGCCCTGTCCTCTGGAGGCCAAGGTGTGGAGAGCAGGGTGGGGGCAGCCTTGAGCGTCTCTCTTGCCTTTGTGAGAGTCTGGAAAAGGGAGCCCCTTTGAACTCAAGCAACCCTATTGGGACCAGGCTAAGTGGAGGGCACCTTGAGTGAAGGAAAGGGAGACCCTACCTCCAGGTGGGTGCAGCTCAGATCGTGGGCGCAGGGCTTGGCGCTTCCAGACCTGACTTCCCTGTCATGTGTCTCTGTGCCCGCCATGCTCGGCTGCTCTGCTGTAGCTTATGGACCAAATGCCAAGGGCAGGAGTGACTCCAGAGACTGAGGCCAAGGAGAAGGAAGCTGTATTCCTCTCCCTTAGAGGGGGAAGGGTTGAAGGTGATTCTGTAACTTGACCTTTCCCATCTCCAAGGCAAAGGAATAAGGAGTTGAGCTGAGCGCCACTCATGGTGGGTATTTATAAGCGCACAAAGGCACACACACATTCGCACGAGGTGTGCACACATGGACACATGCATGCAGGCACAGCTTCAGGCAAGCCTGTCCATGCATACACAACCGCTCACATGCAGGTGTGTATGCACATAGACACTCACATCATGAATACACAGTGACAGATGCATGTCATTCACAGGCGGGCACATGTGCCTGTGTTGTTGCACACACATGGGCATAGTGTAGTGCATGAATGCACTCACATGGTCCTCTAAGCACACCTATCTTCTGATAACATGTTCCCTTACACACACCTGCATCGATAACATTCAGCCTACACACCTGAAGCTCTCGGCTCTGCCCTAGTCATAGTATGGCCCTGGTTCCTACATCCATCTAGTCAGATTCTCCCTTTGCAGGGAGGCCTCTGTGTATGTGCATGTGTGTGTGTGTGTGTGTGTGTGTGTGTGTGTGTGTGCACGTGTGACTTGTCTTGGACCATGTAACCTCCTAGGAATATCCTTGGTGCTGACAGGACTGCACCTAAGTTTAGTCGAGTTGTATCAAAATCAGAGGACACTTCTGCCCCACGTGTGTAAAAGGGGTGGTTGTCAGAGCAAGTTCACTGATGAAATGGTTTATAAGTGAAAATGAGGTGGTTAGAGGAAGACAGTAGGCAGAGACAGAGGGACTGACTTAAGCAGTGAGGCCTGTGTTCTGAGTGAGTAGGAGATAACAGTTGTCTTCTTGGTGGCTCTCAGTTCCTACAAACTACTCCAATGTGTTTCTTGCAGCCCTAAATGTGATTTTGCTGTTAACAGAGATAGTTTTCTTCATATAGCTGGGCAGCTGAACACATACCATCTTCTTTTCTGGGTGCTTAATTGGGGAAATCAGCCCAATGCTCAGAGAAGGGAGGAACAGTTGGCTGGGCTGTGCTTTCTAGAAAATGCTTGTCTGTCTCCATATGATACCTCCTTAAGGAAGTCTCAGGGGTAATTTGGACTCGGAGCTACTTTGTTCGTGTAGATCAAGCCCCCTGGGAACCTGTCATTGTACTGCTTGCTGCATTGTTGCTCTTGTATAAGCATCCTCGCCTTCTCCCAGACTGTCACCTCTTACGGATAAGAATGACAAGTTATAGAGGGTGTGGCATTGACCTGCCCTCTCTGTGAGCAGGTCTCAGGCTCCGGTTTGGGCAGAGGGCGGCTGTTCTCTTGAGACTCTTTAGATGAGCAGGGTCACGGGGCTCTCTTGCTCCCGGGGAGGGTTGCGGTTTGGAGTTGAGTATGCCTGGTAAATCCACTAGCGTGTCTCCCTGGTGAGAACATGGAGCTGTGTCATCACACGGTGCTGCCAGGCGTGAAGAAAGAAGGGAAGAGCTTGGTGGTGCATGTTGGTGCAGCAAACCCTTGAACATGTACTGACTCTTTAGGAATATGCATGGTGAATATTAATCCCACTGACATTGGTGGAAACATGACCGACTTCCCCTTTTAAATACGGTAACTTTCAGAAAGCTTAAAGTGAATTTAAGCCACAGGCAAGCCAAGAGCGGGGGACCTCCATGCACCAGGAGTGACTGTCCTTCTGGGAGAACCTTCCTGGTGGTCTCATATTCAGGGGGCTGTTGTAACCCACCGTCCTGATCTGTCCAGGCCTTTCTCTGGGCTTTTTCTTCTTTAATCGGGGATGGAAGACCCAGTGGTGGGACACTCACCTCTTCAAAAGCGAAAGGAGAAAGAGCTGGAGTGAGAGAGCTTCTGAGACTGAGAGAGAGAGTGCTTCTACTCTAATGTGTGTTAGGATGCCTTATTCCACTCACTCTCCATTCTGGTCCTTCGTTTTCAGCCTTGCTAAGAAGCAGTAGCCAGGTGTTACCCACAGTTAAAGGGGGGTGCGTCTTGCAGAACAGTGGCCCCTCATCTGGGGACTGTCCACAAACTGAGAGGAATGGAGCAGTGGCTTTTGTTATTTTTATCTTATAGGTGGGCTCCTGAGATAGAAGAGAGATTTTAGGCTGCAAGTCCTGCGGCCCCCAGCGGGTAGGCTTTCACTGGAAAGACCCCAGGTTTAGAGATCATGAGATTATTGGCTGTACAGTTGCAATCACAAGGCAACCTTTCTGAGCAAAGCCAATGATCACATCACTCCTGAAGGTCATGGAGAACAAAGCAACACCCTCAGGTAGTAGCCAGAAGGCAGTAGGAATGGTGAGCCTCAAAGCCATGGCTCACCTGTGCCTCAGTCTCTGTGTCTGTAATTCTCAAAACCAGCAGGAACTGCTCTCAGGAGGGTGGAAAAACAGCAGTTTATGTGATGGGTATTTTGTCTTAATCTCTTGAGAAAGAGCAGCCTTTATTTCATGTACAAAACACTGTTGCTGTTCATGCAGAAAAGCTGGCTTCACAGTCTTACAGTAGTCACAGGCTACTTAGCTATTACAATGGGAAAAATGATGCCTTTACAATAAAGAAAGCTAGCAGGCACTGCCTTTTACCAAATAATGAAATTTAACATCACCTAAAATAGAACAAATTATAACAAATGGACTAAATGTAAAGGAATTTTTTGTATTCCTTGATGGAATGCCCTGAGGACAGAAGGCCACCATCACATTATTGGTATAAATAGGAAAATTTGACTATGGACTATATGTTGGAAAAAAGTGTTATATTAGTGTTAATCTTATTTTTTTAATGATTTATTTATTTATGCATACAAGAACTGGGGTACAGGCCAGCAGTGCAGGGCATGAGAGGATTCACCAGAGACAGAATGGGGAGCAGAATAGGTGGATCTACCGACATGCACTGTTGAGGGGAGCAGCGGGAAGCAAGGTCTGCTGTGCCAATTGGGTCACCTTGTTGGCTGGGGATTCTCCTCCTGCAGTGGATGCGGATAGCTTCATAGTGCTGCACTTTAACGCAGATTTATGCTGTGCATAATCTTCTTGATTATGATTATTATATTGAGGTTAGGGGAAGAATATCCTAACCTTCAGGACATATGTGCCCATAGGGATCAGAAGTGCAAAGCCTGCAATTTATCGTCAGGCCACTTAGCGTGACATAGACTATGTATGCATTTTTATATTAGAGGTGAAGCATTCCAAGGCTAAGCAAATAAATGGGCATGTGTAACCTCTGTGGCTGTGGGATGATCCCACTTCCTATGTCTAAACTCTCTTGCCCCAGGCACCACTGTGGGAGAAAGTCACCTTTTTGGTTTCCTTTCTTTATGTATCTACAGTTGACCCTCAAACAACTCAGAGGTTAGGGATAGTGACCACCCAGCACCCCTGCTGTTGAAAATCCACATATAACTTTGACTCCTAAAGAAAACTACTTACTAATAGCCTGCTGTTGACTGAAAGCTGTACCTCTAACACAAGCAGTGGATGAATGTAATTTTGTGCCCCATATGGTTGATAGACTGTATTCTTACAATAAAGGAAGCTAAGGAGAATGCAATTAAGATAATCTTAAGTGCATCATCATAAAGATTTTCATCCTTATTGTGATCTTTATGTTGAGTAGCCTGAGGAGGTGGAAGAATGGAGGGATGGAAAATTATTCTCCTGTAAGTGGAACCTGGCAGTTTGAACTGGTCTTGTTTTTACTTCTAGGTTGATCACACACTGAACTCATACCAAGTCATAGGGACCTTGAGCCCATGTCTCCCTTGGCAGGGTGGCAAAGGATGGTTAGGCTCTCGATACTCAGTCCCTGGTAGACTCAGAACAAGCAGAGACATGCCATGGATGGTGTCATCCTGGTGGCCCAGACTGGGCATTTGAAGTTGTGACCCACTGGTGCAAGGAAGGCTGCTATCTTACCTGTCTGACCAGGTAAGGCTTTTTAAAAATTTTGAAGTATTTAGGATGACTGTCTCTCAATGAAGATATAGAGAGATAAACAAGCATCTGCTCCAATAATCAAAGGAAATTCTCAAAACAGAAATATTTCAAGAATACTCTGACCTGGGTTCATTGCTTTGTTTACTCTGAAAAGCAGGGCTATGTGATGGTAAAAGCACAGATTCTGGTTCTAGAAGGCCTGAGCTCCAATCCCCACTAGGTCACTGCTGTGATATGACCTCAAACAAATTACTTATCTCTTGGGTTTCTCATCTGTGAAATGATAGTAGGATGTAAGGAGAAAAGGAGAGGAGATATATTCAAAACTAAGGACAGTACCTGGCAAAGGAGGAACTCCATATATGTTAGTGGTCTACCTACGTATTTTGTATATGAGTTGGGTATCACTTAACATATCTTAAAAAAAGAAAAAGATTTTATACATAGACATGAGCTGGGATGTAGGCCAGAGGTGTGTTGGGGAAGCATGAGAGGATTCACCAGAGACAGAGTGGGGAGCAGAACAGGCAGATCATGTGAAGTGCACTGCTAAGGGAAGCTGTGGATAAGATAGGAGGTCTTCTGCACCATGTGGATCAGCTCCCTGGCCTGGGATTGAAGTTGTGCTGCTGTGGCTGTGGAGAGCTTCCTAGTGCTGAGACTAACCCCCCTGCACTACCAGGGAGGCCCTGTCACTATGACATGATGATGATGATACCATCATCTTGCCCTTTGGAAAGGAGGCTCAGATTTCTGAAAATGGGGAGCGTTCTAAAATATGGCCAATTATTTCCAGCACATGCAACATATAAAATATACACAGAGAAGTCATTAGTGTATAATCCCAAATGTCCATGTGATGTTCTGGAACACTAGAAATAAGACTTTTATTCATATTATGGGCTTTTCAATGAATACATGTGTGAAATTTCATTAACAACTTAGGAGGAACTATGGAGTTGGCAGCAAATTTTTAATAAGTTGGATGCTGTTTTATGTTTGCAACGAGAAAACTTTGGCTGGAGGATGATTTAGTGAGCAATGTGTACCTAGATACTACAGTGGTTTGACTAAAGCACTTTGGCTAAGATAGATGCTACTTTGAACAAAAGTTATTTTCAAGTGGCTGGAGAGGAGCTAGTTTACCTTGAAGCCTCCTTTTCTTGGTGGCTGTATCTTGGCTTACTTCCCTTGGAGTGAAATTTTCTTTGGGATGCTGGAGGGAAGAGGCAATTACCTTGAGGTGAGAGCAGGTCTCTGCCCGGGTCAACTGGGAGGTGCATAGTCAATCCACTTGGTTTTTCCAAGGACACGTGTTTCAGGGGAGGCTTCCACAAATGCCTAGTCTCTTCTGTTTCTGGCCCTGGTTCAGGATGTGGGGCACCTAAGAAGAGACCAGAAAGCAGGGGAAAAGCCATGTTGTAGTAGACATCTTTGGGTTTTTTTTTTAAAGATTTTATTTATTCATACAGAACTGGGGTACAGGCCAGAGATGTGGAGGGTGGGAGGAGCCACCAGAGACAGACAGATTGGGGAGCAGAACAGGCCGACTGACAAAGTACACTGCTGAGGGGAGCAGTGGGTGGGTCAGGAGAGGTCTGCCACGCCATGTGTTCACCTCTGGTGCAGGCGGGGATTGAACTCATGCGGAAGTGGCTTGAGCTTCTTAGTGCAGTGTTTTAACCCACTGCGCCACCAGGGAGAGCCATCTTTGGGTTTTTGTTCTCTTCTCTTTTGGGGGAGACCTGCTCTCTCCTGTTCACGCCGTGTGGTCTGGATAGGTTGTATCCATTTCCCGACTCCAGAGCTGAGCATGGCATGGAAGCCTGACTAAGGAGAGCACCTTTTTGTCTCAGTCCAGGGATGGGGTCCGTCCTGGGCATACAGCCCAGCCAAAATTAAAATTCTTATAATTTTGAAAGAATTTTCAAGAGATATATCCTTTTGAGACTGGGGTCAATAGATAGGAGGTTGGTATGGGATTGTAGGAGGTCATCTTCACACCGCATGTGGATACCACCCAGTTGGGAGGAAAGAGCCACAGTGCTCAAAGTGCTTAAATATTGCACAGATCACATTTTTGGAGAACTGGATCCAAATGAGTCTGAAGTTAACTGTTCCTTGCTTTACCCAATTACATGAGCGAGCTTTTATGTTGTTGCTTAAGACAGTTTCAACTAGGTTTCTGACACCTACTATTCAGCGTCCTCACTAACATACAACAGAGAGGAGAATTCACTGTCTTATATGAGCACAATGTCTCTAAAAACTTTAAGAATTGTGTTCATGATGGCCTGGTTGTCTTTCTGACTCTTTCCAGAGTCATCATGGAAGATAATCAGGATTTAACCAAATCCTGCTAATAGTTTTGTCTTTTTATTTGGATGTTTTGGCATCTGGAGCCATACTGATTCTGGGGGTGTCTGTCTCTCCCAGGGCTAGATAATTCTTAGTGGCAATGAAGGACCACCTGTGAGTCTGTCTTTCATACACAAACAAACTAATTAAAGAGCTCCTAGCTCCCAAATACCTCCTTTATCTAAACTTAATACTCCTGGGCCACCACCCCCCTGGCCTAATCAATGCCAGGTATCAGAAAACTAGGGACAGCCCCTATGTCTAGAGCCCACACAAACTATTCAAACTAAACAATTCAAGCCTGTTTAGCCTGCTTCGCCAGACTTGCCCATTCCTTCTTTCAGAGACCACAATAATTCTTGCCCACTCTCCCCCATCTTTCTGCATCCTAACTGACCCTGGAGCTTTCTTGAGTCACTCCATTTAATGTGGTCTGCCCCCTACTTTTGGGAACTATAAGTAGCAAACTATCTTCTCAATGGTAATTGTCTTCTGATCTGTTTGTCTCACCTTACCTGAGTAATAATAAAAACCATATTTAAAAATACTCTGTGTAGGCCCTCCCTGGTGGCGCAGCGGGTTAAAGCACAGCACTGAGAAGCTAAAGCCAGTTACACATGAGTTCGATTCCTGCCTGCCCAGGAGGTGAGCACATGGAGCGGCAGACTTCTCCTGACCCGCCCGCTGCTCCCCTCAGCAGTGTACTTCGTCGATCTGCCTGTTCTGCTCCCCACTCTGTCTCTGGTGAGGCTTCTCACCGCCCCTGAGCCTCTGGCCTGTACCCCAGTTCTGTATGCAAGAATAAATAAATCTTTTAAAAAAATACTCTGTGTATATATTTTAAAGAATGAACTTTTTCAAAGGCAAAATCTACATACAGTAAAACGCACAGATCTTAAATGTACAGTTCAATGAGTTTTGACAAATGTATACGTCCAACCAACCAACATTTAGAACAGTTCCGTCACAAAAACTTCTCTTATATCCCCTTCCATTGACTGGTCTTTTAAGCCCACAGTTAGGTAGTTTTCATAATGAGAAATTCCAAATGGGGTCTCAAAACAAAAACACTCTGAGTTATCATGGCAGCTTTCACTGAAGTTTCTGGAAAGCTTAAGACTCTAGGACCTCCCCAAATTGGAATCAGCTGTTTAATGAATTCTCTTTTGCTTCGGGTAGCCCAGGGAAGTCCCAAGAGCATAAATAAGTTGTAGGCAAAGGGACTGTGGAAGATGTTGGTAAGATTAGATTTCTCCTTGGGTCAGCAGGGTAGGCAGCAACTCAGAAGCCTCTTCCAGAGAGACTTCTTAAATCCCCAGTTGGAATTGTTCTCACTGTTAACAAACTACTAGCATTTTGCTTAGAAATGCAAAATCTCTGCCCTGACAAAGATTGTAAAGATCATTTAATGTTATATAATAACCCAAATCAAAATCAAGGAAATGGGTTTTTGGGCACTTTTATCTTACTTTTATAAAATGAAGATCGAATGATCCAAGTATCCTTTTTATTTTGGCTGCCAGGAAATTCAATTAAATCCAGAGCTTACCTAAAGCAATGAATTCATCCCACATGTCTGATAACATCTATTTCTTGCTCCTTTACCAGTTTTTTTCTCTATTTTTCCATATTAGTTGTTCTGTTTTATACAGATATGTTTCCTAAATTAAGACAATACAGTTTATGCTTTTTGACTATATGATGTTGAAAAAGAGAACATATTTAGTAGAAACTATACTTCAAATTGTGAATTTATATTTTATTTCAGGTTAGCAATATGTGATATGTGAAATGCTCAATCATATCTCCCCTAATGTTGGGCAGTGACATGAACCACAGCTCCCAGTCAGCAGTTACTGAGAGGGTAGACTCTGGCACTCTACTGTGTCCTAAGTGTTGGTGTTCGGAGTTATACTTAGCTCTGATATTCAGTAGGTAAGGTATTAACTGAATTTCCACTCACAGTAGTTTCAATTTATGATAGATTTATTGGGACTGTAAGTCAAGGATGCTCTGATTATATTTGTAAGTTGCCTGAAATTCTTCTACCTTTGTAATACTTGTGTTGCACTGAATTTACATATGTGTCTTCCTTTTTCTTCTAATTTAGCAAAATGCATGGCTCAGTGAAAGGTTAAATGAATTTTAAGAAAGTTGAGTTGAATATCACCAAAAGAGACCTATTTCTAGATTTTACTTTTTCCTTCTTTTAAAATAGTTTTCTGAGCAAACAATACTGAAATTTGTATTGAGTTACACAAATCTACAAATAGCTAAAGCAATTGTGATATAAGAGAAGAGGAATGGAGGTTTTTACATTCCTAGACTTCAAGAATACTATAAAGCTACAGCAATCAAAATAGTATGGTATTAGCATAAAAACAGACACACAGATCAGTGGAGTAGAATTGAAATCCCTGTAATGAATGCACATTTATATAGATAGTTATTTTATGACAATGGTGCCAAGGACATACAAAGGAGAAAGGAAAGTCTCTTTAACAAGTAGTGTTGGGAAAACTAGACAAATGCAAAAAAGAAAAGAAAGAAACTAAACCACTATCTCACACCATACACAAAAATGAGTTAAACTGGACTAAATACTTGGATGTAGAAACAAACAATAAAATACACAGAAGAAAATACAAGTAAAACACTGCAACACTGACTTCAGTATGTCTTTGGAAACTCTGCTACAAGGGCAAGGGAAACAAAAGAAAAGTGAACTAATGGGAGCCTATCACATCAAGCTTCTGCATAGTAAAAGACACTATAACTAAAACAAAAGAGCACCTTACCCAATGTGAGAAAATTTTTGCAGATCTTGTATATGACTAGAACTAATATCCAAAATCTATGAAGACTCATACAAGACGAAAAGAAAACAAATAACCCAATCAAAAAAGCACATAGAAGATCTAAATTGACACTTCTCTAAAGAAGACATACAGATGGCCAATTGGTACATGAATAAATGCTCATTACTTTTTATCAGTTTAACACAAATCAAAACAGCAATGAGATACCACCTCATAGCTGTGAGAATGGCCCAGAAACAAGTGTGGAGAAAAAGGAACCTTCATACACTAGTGGTGGGAAAGTACATTAGTTCAGCTCCTCTGGAAAACAGTGTAGAGGTTTCTCAAGACATTAAAAAATATATCTACCATATGATCCAGCAATCTCTCATCTAGGTGTCTACCTGAAAATGCAAAAACATTAATTGGAAGGAATAAATGCACTCCTGTATGCATTGTAGCACTATTTACAATAGCTGAGTTACAGAAACAATTTAAGTCTTCAATGACAAGACATGTGGATAAAGAAGACATGGTGTGTGTGTGTGTGTGTGTGTGTATACGTACATATATGATGGACTACTACTCTTTAAAAAAAGATGAAATCTCACATTTGGGAACAGCATGGATGGAACTCTGCTAAATCAAATAAGAAGGAACAAACAAAAGCAAAACAAAACAAGCCCATGAATCTGACTGCAGTCCTGAGGTTACCAGAAAGGGGTGGGGTGGAGGAGGCTGGGAGTGAAGTGTGGGGTGGGGTGCAGTGGACTGTGGTGGAGGATTATTGGGGTTTTGGTAAAAGGGTGTGATGTGGTATCATATATTTGTAGAGGTGTGAATCTATACCCCCAAAACATACACAATGTTTTCAATCAATGTTACCTTAATAAACATAAAACATTTCTCTGAAAGGGATGGCTCTGGAAGGGTCAGTCATGAATTTGTGGGGCCACAATCCAGTCCTTCTTAGCGTCCCAGCCACAGAGGACTTACTTCTTTTGTGTGCTTTTTCTTTAGGGCGATGGTGAGTGTGAAAATGAATCTCCACTGGAAAGACCAAGAGCTCTGCTGGGAGCTCGTTAGCTTTACATTGACTCCTTAGTGGGGCCACGACTCTGGGTGATTCTTCTGAGATAGGAGGTAATTTCAGAGTCTTTGGTGCCTGGAGAAAATTTAAGAACAAAACAAGATCCAAGATGACCTGTATCAAACCCAGCTGCTTACAAAATGGCATTGTCACTTTTTGAGTCTCTAGCACCAGAGTTGCTGGGTGTGATGTAGCATAGGTAGCTTTAAGAGAAAGAAAACTAAGACAGGAAGGCTGAGAAGGAAAATTACCTAAGACCATATCTGGCTAGAGTGCTGCTGTTTGCTTCTTAGAAGTTGGCCATGTTTTCTTTATTCCAACCTGTTTTTTTTTTTTTAAATTTGTTCATTTATGCTTACAGAACGGAGTACAAGCCAGAGGTGCGGGGCTGTGAGAGGATTCACCAGAGACAGAGTAGGGAGCAGAACAGGCAGACGGATGAAGTACACTGCTGAGGGGAGCAGCGGGTGAGACAGGAGAAATCTGCTGAGCCGCGTGGGTCAGCTTCCTGGCTGGGGATCAAACTGGTGCTGAAGCAACTGTGGCTAGCTTCACAATGCTCAGCTTTAACCTGTTGTGCCACAAGAAAGGGCCCCTTATTATTTTGAGAAGTGCAAACATAAAAAGAGCTTTTGGGAGGAAATACAGTTTTTCTCTTTTACACCATGGAAAATGAGCTGGATTGAAATGATCTAGCTGAAATTTCTGCTTGTAGGTAGGTTTGCCATAAGTCCTTTGCTGCAAGCATTTCGTGGCAAATTGGTCATCACACAGCAGTTTTGCCATAAAAGATAAAATAACTGGTTGATAGTTTGGTTTCAACTTATATAACACTCCCATTTTTATATTGTGAAAATCTGGTAATGAAACAGGAAGTGTAAAACAAGAGAGCAGAAAGCTTGATTGTTACTACTAGAAAATGAAGGTTTATCAATGGTAAATCTTTATGAACACAGTCACCTCTCCCACCCATCAAAACCAAAAGTTTGCCATGCAGTGACAGCTATTCATAATAGTCTCTGAGAATATTAATGATTCATTTTTTTGCTAATTTAGATACAACTTTTTGGGGTTGTATCTAAATCCCACTGTAGCAGATCTGCCAGACATGGAGATTTCTAGGTATAGAGAGGGAGACTTCTTGGCATTTGTTGTTAAGAGAAAAAAGGTGCTGAACATTGTATATGCAACCTTTAAGGCAAGAAGGGGCAGAAAATAGGAATGTGCTTGTGTTTCTTTTCCTCCGGGAAATTTTCTAAGGCTCAGGTTTTCCTCTTTAAAATGAGAATAATCAAACCACCTATTTCAAGAAGTTGCTGTGAGGATTACATTTGCTGTTTTATATGTAATTAAAAAATTATTTATTTATGCATACAAGAATTGGGATGCAGGCCAGAGGTGTGATATGTGTATGTATGTGAGAGGATTCACCAGAGATAGTGGGGAGCAGAACAAACAGATCCACTGAAATACACTGCTGAGGGGAGCAATGGGGAGACAGGAGAAGTCTGCTGCACCATGTGGGTCACCCCCTGGCCAGGGATTGAAATTGTGCTGCAGTGGCTGTGATAGCTTCACAGTGCTGAGACTTAAGCCCATGCACCACCAGGATACACCCCATTATGTGTATTTTCAATAGTATTTGGAATTAGGATTACTACTGATATTTTTTTGAGAGTAAAATCTTATGTGGGTTTAATAACTAATCTCACCGCTAGGAGGTTATGTAGGGTCCTCACTCTGCAGCAATATGAACAGAGCAGTAAAAAATAGAATCACTGTGTATCAGAGAAAGCCACAGCATTAGCCCAGGGTATGTGTGTGTGTGTGTGTCCCCAAAACACCATAACATCTGTGTGTGTCTACACACACACATGACAAAGATAGGCAAGGAATTTCTTCTAGTTTGAATCTTGTCACATGTGAACTTGGCTCTATGAATGTATGTGTGTGCTGGGTTTCAGGGAGTTCAGTTTCACAGGAGGGAAAATAAAACTGTTTCTCCCTTTTTAGTGTTTAAAAAGAATAAAATGATCAGAAACACACATAATTATCCACATGTTTAGAGCTAAATGAGGAAGGAAATGCAACCAGATATGGGCAGAGTGACATTTATAATTTTGAGGCATTAAGAAAATGATTAACTAAACACACGTACATTGGATCTTTATGTTTCTGGAGACCTTCAGTGCCTGGTGCCAGCTGCCCACCAACAGCCCTTTTCTGAATACTGACCTTGTGCATTTTATTTGACAAGGTTTGCATTGAGAAACCTATGTGGAAACTCAAATGATTTGTTTAAGTTTGGTTGACAAGCCAAACCTTAATTTCTTTATTCTAATTAAAAATTTAGTTTTATATAGGGGAAAATATTGCTTTCCTCTGTTAAACCATATACATGGATCGAGGAAAGGGACTTCCATCTACTCTCTAACCCTAGCTCAGTTCTAGGTTGATTAGGGGTGTGAAATTGAAGGCTTTTTTGAGGATCACAGGGACCTTGGCAGGGCAGTTCTGTTGCTCCTGGTCTAAAAGAACTTTATCAGACAGAGATCTTTCTGGTGTAGACAGAAAGGTTTAGATTAGCTTATGCTGATCACGGACAGGACATCAGTATGTTGACATCAGTGTATGCACAGGATATCAATCAAAGTTCCAAACAGAACAACCATCTCACTGGCACCAGGACCAACTGGAGTGCCCACGGCTGCCCCAGCAACTCCCCAGATGACACAGCTCTGCAGTGAATCAGCCTCCTGTAGTTCCCAGCTGGACACAAGACACTTCCCCCAAATGTACCTTCTCCTTTCATCCTTCCATTAGTCCTGCGAGGTTGGTGTTATCTGTGCACCCAAAGTCACTGGGCAGAGGGGTGAGTCACCTGCTCAAGTTCATACAGGTAGGGCTTGCCAGAGTCCTTGCTCATTCCCTATCTGCACAGGTACCTCCAATCATCAAAAATCCACATCAGATTTCAAGGCAGAACCAGGCTGGAAACAGCTAAGGACATCTCTAAGGAGATGTCCTTCTGAAGGGGTCGATAAACCCGCAAGCTTTACCCTAAGTGCCTAAGAGTCACAGACCCTCAACAGACTTTGAACTGAGCAAAAGCATCATTAGATTCAAGGTCATCAGCATTTTTGAGTCTGAAGTGATCAGCTCCCTACAAGCCCAAATTCTGGCCTTCTGTGTTTATGGAGAACTGCCACCTTCCGAGAGCCAAGGATTCTGCTGCCACCAGAAAGTATGCTTTAAGCTAGAGTCCAGGGCAGCTGAAATTCCTGTACTTCTCTATTTTCGACATATAGTAATTTACTGTAGCCCCACTTGGTTAGTTCAGAAAAAGGGACGGGGCTTGGGCAGGCTCAACTCAAATATGCCGCTTTGGTAAATCGACTATTTTGAAATAAGTTGAGAAATAGCTGGGGCAGAAAGGACATGCTGATCTCCTGAAAGCAGGAAACACATCTTCCATGCTCCCTACACTGAGATTCGAGAGACATCTTTATCACTGGTCATCGGGGTCTAGGACCGTGAAAACCGTGTGAAACAAGCCCTGCTTAGCTCACCACTGATTAGTACCCAAGCCTCAAGCTTCCTTACCTTGTCAGTTCTTCACAAATGTATTGTTTCTTTGTCTAGAAGGTATAAAAACAGCCTGTTGGTCGCTTCTTATAAGGCCTCCATAGGTACAAAATTAAATTTGTTTTTTTTTTCTCCTATTAATCTGTCCTGTGTCAATCTGCTTATTAGGCCAAACAAAGAATGTAGGAGAGAAAACGTTTTCTCTTCCACAGGTGTAAGGCCATGAGTCACTTCATTCTTTGGTTGAAACTAATCTTTCGACTGCACACACACACACACACACACACACACACCCCTACCTTTTTCTGCTTCACTTCCCCGGTTGCACTTTTTTCTGAGCCATTGACAGATGCTACAGGGGGGAAAAGGCATCTCTCAGCAGGAGGCTCCTGTAACATGGGGCTGCTCCTGCCCTTGTGGAGTTTCACATCCGCGAGTCCACCTGTAGAAACAGGACGGGAGTGGGGTCCTGTTAGTTGCAGGGGTGGGGATGGTCGACTTTCAGCTTTTACCACTTTGAGGTGAACGGGAAGAGAATTAAGGTGAGTTCTGGGTACAAAGAGCAGCTTGGACTGAGGCAAGTTCACAGAGGCTGAATCTTATTCTCTAGCTGGGATTCTTCTAGTAGAGTCAAGCGATGGAGAGAATGATAAGGATAAGAACAACTGCCAACATTATTAAGTGCTAAATAGGAGACAAGAATCAGGGAAAGTATTTTTCAGCATTAACTCACTTAATCCTTGCAATAGCCTGATGGAGGTATTATAATCATCCCCATTCTATAGATGAGGAAACTGAGCCTCAGCAAGATGAGTAACTTGCCAGGATCTCAGCTAGTAAGTGGGGGATTATTTGAACCCAGGCAGCCTGATTGTGGAATGTGGGTCTGCTAAGTACCAGTCTAGAGGGGACTGTCAGTCATATTCCCACCTCCAGGTGGGCTTTGGCTAAGTTGAGTGGCCCGAGGAAGTACACTTGGTGCGTCTCAGTGTTCTCAAATGAACTCTGCCTGATTAGATTTATCCAGATCAAAAGCAAAACATTTGGCTTCTTACCGCTGAGATTTGCTTTCCTATTGGGGAAGGCGCCTCCATAGAATGTAACATGGGCTTTGTCACTCAGGAGCCAAGAATGATGGAAGTGGGCATGCCCGAAGGCCCTCCTGGAGGTTTGCTGTGCCATTTCATTGTGGCTTTCCTTTGAAGCGTGTATACGTCGGTGATTCTCTATTGACGTGTCCTAGGGAACGACAGATACACAGTCCTGTAAACAGGCTTTTGTAAGGGAGCCGAGCAGATTCTTTTAACAGTCAGACTTTGTGGCTAGACTTGTGGTTCCAAAGATGAAACCTCTTTTACAGCCTGCGAAGAAAAGCAAGGTTATAACAGCAAGACCTTTAATGCTGTTTGTTACCATCAATCATTGTATTATTGATAATAGAAAGGTTGACATTTAACCATGCCTGATATAGAGTGCTTTCTTGCCAAAAAAAAAAAAAAAAAAAGAAGAAGAATCAAATTGAAGCACTAGTGCCATTGTCTTTGCCCATCATATAATGTCTCTCCCTACTCCCTTTCATTGCGGGACACACCTCCCACCCCCTCTTCTCACTGAGCTTTATAAGTAAAGACAAATTTATTCAAGGTAGGAACATAAATTGCTTATGTTGTTCTAAACTACTGTTGTCTAGAAAGCATGCTTGCACACACATACACACTCACACATAGGCCTTAGAGTTCAGAAAGCATTTATACATTTTTACTCATTTAGTCCTCCTAGTAATTTTGCTATTTTAAGGTAACAGCTCCATTTCCACAAGAGGAAATTCAGCTTCCAAGTTAGATGGATTTCTTTTTTTTTTTTTTTTAAAGATTTATTTATTTGTGCATACAGAACTGGGGTACAGGCCAGAGGCTCAGGGGCGGCGACAGGCTTCACCAGAGACAGAGTGGGGAGCAGAACAGGCAGATCGACGAAGTACACTGCTGAGGGGAGCAGCGGGCGGGTCAGGAGAGGTCTGCCACGCCATGTGGTCACCTCCGGGGCAGGCGGGAATCGAACTCATGCGGAAGCGGCTTTAGATTCTCAGTGCTGGGCTTTAACCCGCTGCGCCACCAGGGAGGGCCTAGATGGATTTCTTAGAAATGTTCATTGCACTTATGAAGATGAAGGATCAAGTTGAAACTTTTCCAACTCTAAGGTTAAGAACTCTTTTCTAGAGAAGATTCTAGCTGCCTAGATGGGCGAAGAGTAGGGTGAGGGTCTGTGGTTAAATGGGTTTGCAAAACTGGTTGCTTTCCCTGTAGAACTTTTCAAAGCAGTGCATTTCCACATGTGCACGATGACCCTTCAGGAGAGTATGGTTTGCAGCATTTCTCAAATGTATTTGCCACAATTTTTTCCCCCCAAGGAGCACTTGACTACAGTAAGCTTCCATAGTTGATACTTTGGGAAACAGTGGTTGATGAGTTCAAAGTACTCAACTTTGGAGGAGAAAATAATGGTGACAGGAGGGGGCATCCCTTCTGAAATCAAGACCAGTGGCAAAGGGAAGTCCATTAGAAAGGGTACCTCTGCCTGCCGGGGCTGCTTCCTGAGTGGTGGCAAGTAAGTTCCCTCACAGCTGTTCTTGGCTACAGAGTCCTGGTCCACGTGTCCACCAGCCCCAGCTTCCCCTTCATCCGGGCCCTGTTGACCTGCAAAGGTGAACAGTGGGTCAGGCTTGGAACCCCAGAGACAGGCATGGTGTTGTCAGCTGCTTCCAGTACCCCATTTTTGACGCAAAGGGCTGGCAAGGCCTCCTTCCCTGTTTTCTTACTTCTGGTATTATCTGCATGGAGGTGGCAGCCAGCTTGGTAGAAAACATCTGCACGGGGAATCTGGAGATTTGGCTGAAACTTCATATCTTAGACTCAGTTTCTTCAGCTTATTTCTTACCCTTGCCCCTTGCAGAGTTGTCTGGAGCTCAAATAAGAATGAATACAACAGCGAGGGGCCAGTGACAGAGGTGACATCACAGCGGGCAACTTGCAGCCCGTGTGGTCATTGAGATGCTCAGCCTGAAGCGCTTGGATTTCCTGGTTTGTCTTCTGCTTGTTTACTTGTGGAAAAACTTCTGCTGAAGGCCCTGCTTTTTAGCTCTCTGAACTTACCTTGTCTGTGCACCCCCAGAAAGGATCTGAGTCAACAGATGACTCCAGCATAGTTAACAGATCTTTCATCGATGGTTTAAAGGGTCCTGCAGCTATTTTCATCACTTAGTCAAGGTGGATTTATTGCCGAAACAGTCTGGCAACCCCCCCTAGCTTTAGCAACACCTCCATGCTCAGCGTGTAGCTCTGTGGAACAATGTGGGGTTGTCTTTCAAGTAGTGGCTCTGGAAGCCTCAGGGGCCTAGTAGATGATGGAACCCCAGTCTCCTGAAACTTCTTCTGCCTTTGCCCAGCCAGCATCACCTCCTCACTATACTCCTTAACCCTCTTTTCCCTACAGCTTTTCCAACTTTTTTTTTTTTTAAGATTTATTTACTTATGCATACAAGAGCTGGAGTATAAGCCAGAGGTGCAGAGAGTGAGGGGATTCCTAGGGTCTGAGTGGGAAGCAGAGCAGGCAGATGGACTGAAATACACTGCTGAGGTCAGGAGAGATCTGCAGTGCCTGTGGATCACCCCTCTGGCCAGGTATAGAACTCATGCTGCAGTGGTTGCAGACAGTCTCATAGTGCTGTGCTTTAGCCTCTTGCACCCCCAGGGAGGGGCCCATTTCCATCTTTAGAATCAACAGCCAAATGTCCACTCATGGGGCTGCTTCTTCCCATCAGCCCTCCTTCCTCTGCTTATTGAGTCCTGAAGGCCCCTCTGGGGCTGGGCTGATAACTGGAGTGTTGGAAGCACAGATGCAACTCATGCTCATGTTTGGAGGGGCTGCTTAGGTTTAATGGCACAGGAAGTATGATGAACCCAAGCACCCCTCAATCTGAGGAGGTCTAGAGTCACATTGGGCCCACATCCAGGAAGACTCCCAATGTCACAGGGTATGGCAGTAAAGACCTTTATGTGTGTTCTAGAATGTCCCTTTGAGGTCAGGCCAGACTGCAGGTCTATTCATGGTCAGATTCACCTGGAAACAGATGCTTTTCTGAGGACATAGGAAGGGAAACTGAAGCCAAAGGCTACTTGCCTGCTGAACCATCTTACATGGCAGCTCCCACAGTTTGGTATGGCAGCGTGGGTCGGGGGGATAAGAGGCATTTTCCCCTTGGCTTCATCCCAGGCAATAATGAATATGAGTAATTCTATGTGAGGGGAACCAAGATTTTTCTCAGCAAACATCATCTTTGGCTCATATGTTTAGGCTTAATAGAAACTGGTTTTCAAGCAAGATTTTGGAAGTTTCCGGTGTTAAAAAAAGAGCATAAAACCCAGTCTCTGTGATCTCAGGGGTGGATTCAGATCACCCAAACATGTCCATTAGGGTAGCAATTTAGAGCCCTTACAGACTCTTTTTCCTTTTAACCTCTGAACTGTACTGTGTGATTTTCCACAACAATCCGAAGAAGATGAAAGGTAGATACCATTACCCCAGTTTTACAGATGAACAAATTGAGATGTAGGATGCATAGGTGACTTGATCATTATTGGGGGAGATGGAAATCACAGCTAGGGCTTTGGAGCTCTCCAAATAAAGTGGCAAAGGGGGAGGCCAAAGGAAGATGGAATTCAAACAAACAGGGTTCAAGTTACAGCCTCTGAACTGTTTTGCCTTTGTTACAAATTGATTTTTGGTCCCTGTGATCATGGCAACTGGGCATTGCAATTAGTAATTCTGTTTTCGAAAACACAAACCAGGGAATCCTATAACAAACATTTATCAAGAACTTATGTGCCAAACATTGCATTATACAATTTAATTTCAACATATGAACATGTGAGGGAAAGGTAGGTACGGTCATCCCCATTTTATAAGTAAGGAAATCGGGGCACACAGAGGTTATGTGGTCTGGGATCTGGCATTAATAATCACATGTTTAATTACTGTTCTGTATTGCCTCTGTTGTCTGCCTGACTGGGGTAGCTCCTGATTCAGTAGCATCCACTATGGAATCCACACTGTCACCTCTACAGCCTGAGTTTGATCCCTGTCCAGGGAGCTGACTCACATAGCAGACTGCTTTTGTCTCGCCCACTGCTCCCCTCAGCAGAGTGTTTCAGTACATTCTCCTGTTCTGTTCCCCACTCTGTCTCTGCCGAATTGTCGCACCCACTGCACCTCTGGCCAACACCCTTGTTCTTATATGCAAAAATAAATAAATGAAATAAAAAAAAATACTGGACAGCTTGCTGTCTGGTACTTTTTAGATCCTAAGTCTTCAAACTCTAAGGGCATTAACTGGGACTGTAGGATTATTAAAGACAGAGGGCATTAACAATGACTTCAGGGAAAGAGCAGCTAGTCCCAAGTCAGGAGTATTATGTGGGTGAGTACCCCAATCCCAGGACATGGGTAGCGCAGAAATAATCTCTTCATGCTCCAGAAAAATGGCCTCAGGGATGTTGATCATAGAAGCAAAATGCATAGAAGCTGATGTCTAGGCCAGGGGTTAATTTAGCAAGATAAACACAATTGCCAGCCCAGCAACTTCCTGTAGATGAAACTATATGTGGACTAGATAGGTTGTGACCCAAATTTCCTGGTGTTGGAGGTAAGACTCAAGGAAGATTCCTGACATCAAATTCAGTGGCAGCAGGCTCTGAGAAACCATCACTTTTTCACTTATTTGATAGACCAAATTCTCTCCCTGTCCTGACCAGATCCTTTTCTGAAGATCTGGTTTGGTGAGCCACTACCAGTGTTTCTGGAGAATTCCCTTTTTATTCTGGAAAAATTAACTGTATATTATGACCAGCACTTAGTCTTTTCTTCTTGTATCTCAAATACCCTGCAAAACTAACGCCCTATACTTTGCCCATTATGCTACCATGTCAACCTTTCCTATCTGTCTCAATAAAGGCAACTTCTGACTCTTCATGCTTCATGTTCCCAAGAATAACATTGACAAGTAAAATCCCCACAGTACTGAACAGCTTACAGACAGTTCACAGTAATGTTCTGTGCGACAAAGAGGCAGTTCTTAGTATGTTCACTATAGACATGAGTAAATGGAAGCTCAAGAAGATGAAGTGACTTGCTCAAGATCTTACATCTAACAAAAGAAAGAACAGTCATTGCAACACAGATTTTGGACTCTAAAGCCTTTATTTTTTCCCACAGGATATTGCCATAGTCACAGGATTGAAGACATTTAGAACGGAACAAACAGACCAATACATTAGTCGCTAACCACATGTGGCTGTTTATATGCAAATTAAAATTAAATAAAAACAAAATGTTCAGCTTCATAGAACCACTATCTACATCTCAGATGCTCACTACACATGTGGTTAATGGCTACTATATTGGACAACGCATTTTATAGAAACTTCCACCATTGCCCCCTTATTTGTCAGAGGAGGAGACTCAAACCGAGGAGAACCCCTAGACCTTATTTTGTAAAATGCCATTTTAAAGTGTTAAAAACCCCTATACTTGAGAACTGGTCATAAAATCAAGATATACCTTGTTCAATAGGTTTTCCTTGTTGAATCCAAAATGGAGGGAAGACAGGCAGGAGATGGTATTTGAGGGGTACACCTGAAAGATCCTGTTGTGGCCTGAGGTTCTTTGGTACATTAAGTTGACTGTCCTGGAGCAGCATAGAATCCTTGATGTATCCTGAAGAACAGGGCAGGAGTTATTGATAGAAAAAGTGATTGCCATTCTAGAGGTCTCAGAGGGAAATACAAGGATCCCCACTTGCCCAGGTCTTGACTTTGGACATTATCCATTAAGACAGGTAGGACATGAAGAGAAGAACCATATGGTTCTCTCCCCAGTGTCTCAGACACTCTGGTCTGTGCCACATCTGTGCTGCTTCCACTCTGCTACTCCTGAGACTGGGTCTCCCTCATGCAAAAAACACGGCAGTTCGTTTGGGTTTGGGTACAAGTCTCCTCGTGCCTCAGGAAGGGAATCACCTGGAAGTACCGACTTGCTTCTGTCGGCCCCATGATTCTCATAGTGTTTATTGAGGGCCCACTGGTGACCCAATCCTCTGCTAGGCCGTGGGGGAGATACAAAAGAAACAAATAAGTACTGGCCCTTTTGCAAGCTATGTTTCTATTCTGTTGGAGAGACAAAACTGTCCTGGGCTTAACTGAGAGGCCTCAAGCATCAGTATGATTTAACATAAGAAGTTGAGGAGCTTAATGTTGACTAGAGTTGTCAGAGAACCTTGGTCAAAAAATTGTGGACCTGAAAGGCGTATGTGGGGGAATTCATCACAGAAGTAGAAAGATAAGAGTGGAGAACATGCTGTTATCATAAAGATGGTGAGCACAGGGGTGTCAAGGGAGGGAACTCCCCTCGCTGGGCCAATGATCTCATACCAGAGTCTCAGAATTTGAGGGTTTCACCCTCAGGGGCCCTTAGCAAGGGATTCTGGCAAGGAGTCCAAGAATGTACACCCAGGTATTATTTCTTAAACCACATATTGTTGCCATAGGACTTCCATGAAAGGATCTGAGTCATTTCTTGATAGTAAGAACGCTCATCCTTGAAGATGCTGGACCTAGGCTATGGGGCAGTGGTCTTTTCTACTCTCTGCTCCACCCAAGGACAAATATATTTTTGGCTAAGAGACTTTCTTACAAGTGTTAAATAAACAGTACTGCTTCTAACGGTCAGTCTGCCACCAAAGGAAAACCATTACTGGACAGGCTCTCATTTCTCGTTTTCCTTCAAGTCATCACTTGTTGGGGAGAGAGTTGTTTTTTTCTCTCCTTTCCCAAGGTAAACCTATAAAGCAAGAAGAAAGCCAGTCTTCCTTTGGTTCTGTCTATTTGTTGGTGCTGCTGAAATGGCAAACAGCCCAGAGGGCATTGGCAGATTCTATGCTCACCACCTCATCCCCCACAGGTTTGCCAAATAAAATACAGGATGTCAAGTTAAAATTGAATTCCAGATAAATAATGAACACCTTTTAAAATAGAGCTATATCTCCAGTAGCACATGTCTAACTGTGTATATGCGTGTGTGTAATTGGCAACTTTGAGCCCCAACCACTTCCTGTTTTCATGTTAAGCCTTAATGGAGACTGTAGAGATGAGGCTTTGTGTGCGTGTGGGGTCCCTGCTCAGCAGGAATGTGTCCCTCTCCCCCCTAAGTGGCTGGTGCTGGGAGCTGCTCTCTTTACGAGGGGTCCTAACAGCTCTACTCCTGGGAGGACTTGAGGTTACTCAGGTGGAGGGATGTTGGGAAGAAGAGGAACAGGGACTGTGGTTAGGACCTGACTTTTGGTCCCAGCTCTGCTTCTGACTGGTTCATCTTGGACAATCTGCCTGGTTCCTCGGGCATCCTTTTCCTCATCTTGTAAAATATAAGGATTAAATTGGATAACCTGAAGTCTCTGAGGAGGAAGTTTGAGAAGAAAGTTGTGGCTTGGGTTGTGGAGTATGAAGCCACAGGGAGGCACAAGAGCGAAGGCAAGACTCAGGCCATCTCTTCTTCCACAAATGTGGTGGAGATAAAGGGAGAAAGTCATGATAGATAGAGGCTTGGAGGATGCCTGGCTTAACCACCTCTGCTTTAACACAAAGCTGGGACTGAGATTCTGGTGTTCCCGGCCTTGATGGACACACTCCCCACCAGATGGGCAGATCGGGTGCCTCCTCCCACGTCCCCACTGACCTGCACAATAGAGCCTGTGTAGGATGTCGGGGGGCCATGTCCGCAAGAAGCCTCGGAGGTATCTCTTGGCTGAATACCCAGGCTGGATCTGCCGTTGGGCCTGGCTCTCTGGTTGACTTCGGAAGTGGAGGTATGGTTGCCAGCCTCTGTCCTGTTCCTTCTGTGGGGACACCAGTCAGGAGATAGCATGGCTGCTGAGCCCTGAGTCTCCCCGCGACATATAGGTTGGTTAGTGCAATCCTCATCAGTAATGCGGGAGACTCCCAGAAGGTGCCGGAAGGCACCAGAAACAGATGGCTCAGCTAATAGATATAAACCGAGCCCACAGAGCAAAGCTCTGAAAGGTCTCTAAAGATTTGCCATTGGAAGGAGGAGAAGTGAGAAATACCAGACCCCGTCTTGAGGTAGAGCATCAGAAAAGGATAAAGAACCACAAAGGCAAACACATTACTTAGTTCAGCCTGTGGAAAGAATTTTAGTACCTTAAAAAGTGGCCCTGGGCAGCCATGGCAAAGCCAGCTTGGCAGTTCAGCACCAGCACTCACGGCTTTCATATGAATAACGGGACTGACAAGCTCTGTCTATACTCATGGGGAGCCTAGCATTTTGAAAATATCTGGCTCTGCAGCATTTCATTTCAGCCAGGGAGATTTTTCTGGAAAGCTACCTGCCACAGCTAGTCCCATTGTGCAAGACATCATGTGGAGTCAATGTGAATAATAACATCGTACACTTAGCTAGGGATTTATACTCTACAGAGAACTTTCACCTCATCGCAATTCTTTAAGGTGGACAAATGAATAGTGTACCACTTAAATGATACAGAAACTCTCTAAGGATGACCAGTGAGGCACAGGAATAGCAAACATGTGGTGTTTTACATTGACATTTCTTTCCCTCCTCCTTGCTCACAGCTGATATCATCCTTCAACTGTGGCATTCTTGACTGATGAACTGATTGTGATCTCAGAATTCCTCTTTCAAAGTTTTTTTTTTTAAGCAAGGCATAGTTTATATAACATGCATAGAGCTTAAATGTTAAGTTTAGTCAAATTTGACAGTTGTAGACACCTTTGCAAACCATCACACAAAGGAAACCCAGAAAGCTCCATCATAGCACTTTCTAGTCAATTTCCCTCTGCCCATCAGTAATCATCATACAATTTACCAAGCAAAGTTTATGATTAAAGAGAAAAATATGAAGGAAATGGAGGGGAAGAAGACTTCAGGGTTTGTTCTACTGGGAAGAGCTGTGGATTGTTCCCACTTTGATGTAACCAGGAGGTGAGAATGCCAGAGAAGTGCAGCGCACAGGATGGCCAAGGAATCAAGACCACCAGAGATTCTTCTTGAGGTAAAACAAAAACCAAGAGACCAAAATCTATAAATGAGGGAATACCTCTGCTGGGATAGTCAAGCATCTACAATGGACCAAGCATTATACATTATATCAGGCACTGGAGAAAAGGGACAAATAAGACAGACTAATAACTAAGAGGATCAGGCAAAAGAAGCATAGCTTATCATTGAATTGGCTCGACTTTCTGGGACTTTTTCAATTAAATGAATGCTTAGACTCCAAGCACAGAAAACCAACCGGTCCTTGATGGCTAGAGAGTTTATATGGCAGGTGCTTCAAGTGCAAAAAGAGTCTGGAAAATTCAGCTCCATGTGATCATGGGATACTTTCTTGTCCTTCCCAGAGGACAAGAAAGATTCGCAGCAGAGCGGTGGAAGCAAAACACTCATTCTGTAATTGTATTTGGTTAACGCAGAAAATATTTGTGGGGCCCGTTCGCCAGGCTCTGTGTCAGATGCCACTAGACACAGCCTTTTTTGGGGTGAAGCGGAGCTTCATTTTCCCTCACAAACCTTTGTTTCAAGTGACTTCCCTCTAAGAGCAACAAGCCTTCTCTCAGGTGCTGTAGCCTCTGTGTGGATGGCGTCATGTGGGCAACAGGCCCCTGTTGTTGTTTCACTGTGAGTGGGTTTGAAGCACCAGCTTGGGTCTGGTTGCTGGCTCCATGGCAGAGGAGTTTGCTAAGGAGTCAGGGAGTTCTTTGCCTTGGCATTAGGGGGGAGATAGAAACACTTTTGCTTGGAGTTTGAAGGCTGATGTTGGCCTCTGCATTGGTTTCCTACTGCTCCGGGAACACATGACCTGGAATCAGTTGTTTCAAGCAATACAAATGTATCCTACATTTCTGGAGGTCAGAAGTTTGAAAAGGTCTCACTGGGCTAAAGTCAAGGTGTTGGTAGGGCTGTATTTTTTTCTGGAGGTTCGAGGGAGATGTAATCTTTTGCTTTTTCCAGGTTCTAGAGGCCCCCTTCTTTCCTTTGCTGGTAAATTCCTTCCTCTATTTGCAAAACTTGAAGCGTTGGACTGAGTTGTTGTAGTGCCCTTTTTTTGTTTCTCTCTTTTGAGTCTTTCTTCCATTGGTAGGAGCTTTGAGGGTATGCTGGGCCTGTCTAGAGAATCCAGATAGTCTCCCTGTTTGCAGGTCATCTGATTAATAACCTTAATTCCATCTGCAATCAATTCCCTTTTGCCATTTAACCTAACGCATTCATAGATTCCAGGGACTAGGACGCACAGTCTCTTGAATATTTTTTCAGTTTTCAGGTTTCTCTTAGCAGTTCCTCAAATCATGCCTATGAAGTTGGTTACTAAATTGACATCTCACTGAATAAATGGATCTACTGAAGAAGTCTTGAGGCCTGCTTAGTGCTATCACGGAGGCCAGTCAGGGTTCAATCACTCATTTCCAGCATATAGAGTAATAACAGTGGAAAAAAAAGGAAGTTCAAAAGAGAACTACTACAATCCTGGTGGAAAGGCTGGAAGAAAATACATTAAAATTCGAACAGGAGTTGTATTCAGATGTTGGATGTAGGTAGCATTTCTTCTCTTTTAATAAAATCAAAATTAGAGGAATATGTTTAGATTGTATTTATAAGTGGAGAATACATTGAAATTGCATCCACCCTCTCCACATTTTCCATTCCTTCCCTAACATCATCCTCTAACCTCCCACCTGAACGTTCCTCTAAATCATGGAAAGGAACAGAAGGAGCCAGGGAGGGAGTTTCTGGAACAGGGAATACCTCACAACAGCAGGCCTACTGTGGATGGCTTCAGGCTGCACAGGACTGCTGTGGCTTTGCCCATCCCCCCCAGCTGCTGGGTTCCTCTGAAATGAGTAATTAGTGTGCCTGGAGTGGCCTGTTTTCCATACCCCACCACTAGTGCTGCTTTTAGTAGGCTCTTGCTCCTGTCAGTAGTCTTCCTGGGCCTGTCAGGCCTTCATATGCAGAGGGGCAAAGGGGACCCCTTGCACCTGACCCTTTCCCCACACTGGCTGTCCTGCCCATCCAGCTCCAGGTGTGGCAGCAGAATGGAAGGAACTGGCACAGGCTGTGTCCCCACAGCAGATACGGTGGCAGGGGCCAGGGTCTCTCGGCAGGCACAAGACACTGGGCAGCCAGCTGCCATCTCACACAGAGGGTGGTCCAGCTTCTGTGCACAGGAACTGACAGAGGAGTGAAGAGAGATGCCCAGAAATCTCAGGGCTCGCCAGCAAAGCCCGCTGAAATTCGACTCCACCCACTTCTCCAGGTACATTTTCAGTTCAAAGCCACACCTGTCTAATTACCCTGACTGCCGTGCTCTCCTCTAGGCCTTTACTCACCTGTACTGAGATCCCTCTCCACACACTTTTACCACAAGACTCAGCTCAAATTCTACTTCCTTTAGCATGCCATTCTAGATTTTCCCAGTAAGGAGCCATCCCATCCTCTACCTTCTTTAGATTTTAAAAGCATATTAAAAAGTTGTAGCCTAGCTCCTTTCACAGGTTGCCTTGTGTCAAACATTACCAGTGCACAATCTGCCTCCTGGCCAACACCCCTGGTAGATAAGGTTATGTCCTCTACGGGCCACTCTCTGGAAACCAGTGTGTTCACACAACTCTTTGTTGAGCATTTAGCATGTGTCAGGCCCTGTTCTAGACACTGACCAGTTAATAACTACTCACCAGCTATTTGCTCAGTTTTCTAGTAGTGAGTAGTTATCACCAGCTATTTGCTACTGCTGTCTCTCTGTGCCTTGATCTGTCTGCTCCAGGCCAAAGTTCTCCTCTCCAGAGGAGTGCTGCTGGTGTCTTCTGCTGCTCAGTTCGACTTGCTCAAGTCAGTTGCTCTGGCAGTGGCCAAGACTTACAACAAAGGCTGACTGCCCGTTGTTGTTGCACCTGTGCAGGTGTGACTAGAGTCAGCCTTGGGGCTGCCAGGTGAGTGCAGCTGGAAAGGAGGTGGGGGTAGGGTGGGAGGGGAGAGATGTGTAGCCACTTGCATCTGCGCCTAAAAGTCTTGTCCAACCCCAGCCTGACTTTAATCAGCTTTGTGTAAATACTAATACTCTCAGGCAGTCCCTTTCTCTGCAGGTTTAATTTCTGAAATTCTGTGTAAATGATGCTCTCTCTCCCATATATCTTTGGTGGTGATCTCTCCTTGGATAATAGTCCATCAATAACACAAACATGAAGTGGACTGAATTACCCCATAGCTGCAGTGTTACCACAGGGCTAGATTTGAACCAGATTTTTTAGTATCAAAGATCTGATCAGCCATATGTCACAATAGCAAACAGATACCAACTAGAATTAAAAAGAGCAAAAGTTAAGCTCCTAAAAATGTTCAAATTGCCTAGGTTCAAATCCTGGGTTCATTGCTGATTGAATTTGGGGAAATTACTTTTGTTTCAATTTCTTTTTCAAACGAGGATGACAAAGGCATATACCCTACACGCAAAAAAGTGAATCTGGACCCTTACTTTATACCATATGCAAATATTAACTCAAAAAGACTAAAAATGAACCAAAGACTAAAACTATAAAGCTCTTAAAAGAAAACAGAGAGGCAGCCCTCCCTGGAGTTGCAGCGGGTTAAAGCACTGCACTGAGAAGCTAAAGCCACTTCCGCATGAGTTCAAATCCCGCCTGCCCCGGAGGAGACCACATGGCGTGGCAGACCTCTCCTGACCCGCCCGCTGCTCCCCTCAGCAATGTACTTCGTCTGCCTGTTCTGCTCCCCACTCTGTCTCTGGTGAAGGCTCTCACCGTCCCTGAGCCTCTGGCCTGTACCCCAGTTCTGTATGTACAA